GCCAGGTAGCAAGCAGCATGCACGACACAGGTGAGCCCAGGCTGGACCAGAGCATGGCAGAAAGGGAAAGCTTGGACCATGCCATGTTTACCACTTGTTTTCTCCCTTGCAGAACTGTTTGTGGGTCTGGCTGTGTGTGGATCCATTCTCCTTCTCCTTATAATCCTCCTCTTGACTGTACTCTTTCGCATACAGTCTCAGCCCCCAGGATACCGGCATGTTTCCAATGAGGGAGAAGAGCACGCCTGACAGTTGCTTCAACTCCTTCCCAGGCAGTAGGAGGGAGCAGTGTTGCCCCCAAGGATGATCAGGCACCTTCAGTTACTAAGCACTCTTCTGCTTTGGCCATTGCTTCCTGGAATGAAGCTGGACTTGATTTTTGGATGCTTTCTAAAGGTCACAATCCCAGAGAGTGAGGACTGAGCTACTCTAAAGGAAGTGACACCTTAACTCTGAAGCTGGTATACTGTGTGGTGCCCTCAGTCCTCGTACAGCTTACCTAGTCTGAGATTCCCAACACGGCCAGTTGGAACTGGTCCCGAGTTTTCCTCCTTTCAGTGATTGTAAACATTACCACTCACCATGACTGTGGCAGAGGGGCTTGGGCCTCCAGCAGCTGCCACATCTAGTGCAGTCAGGAGTTGCCTCTCTTCAGGGTCAACCTGCTTTGAGTGCTTTTCTCTCAAGCCTTTGGGCTGATGATAGGAGGAAGGCTGGGCTTGAAGCAGAGGACCCATCTCACCAACAATGCACCGAGACTCATCTACTGTCCATGCAGAGAGAACTGCTGCAGATGATGGCAGCTTTTCACTGTTTCTTGAGGCTGCTGCTAAGTACTTGCTGCTGGCAACTGGTCTTTTTTTCCCTCCTCACATTGTGGTTCAAGAGAGAACTGGCCTGGAATCAGGACAAGATTGAAAACTTGGCAGTAGGTTCTAGGATTCAGCTCAGAGTAGGTTACATATGATCCACAGAAGCTCCAAAAGCATCATCAGAGAGATTAACTCCTGTAAGCATAGGAAACTCACACCCGATTTCTTTTGCAGTGTTGGCTCTAGAAAGGAGAGTCCCCACAGATAAGAAACTTGGTCCCTGTCTAAAGATTCAACCTTTGAATTTGACTTCCCCACCTCTGAACTTCCAAGTACCTATTACAGGGAGTATCCAGTACTGCAGGCAGTCCAGATTTCAGCTATGAGCCCATTCTGCTTTACTTGCAGAATGTTTTTATGCTGAAATTAAAGAGATGTAGCAGAGATGTTTACCTAAGACTAGATTAAATGCTAAATTCTGTAGTTTTTCCTCCTATCTTCCCTATTGGATGAACAACAAACAAAAACCCTCATTAAGGATCAGAGTTTGCAGGTGACTGTGGATCCCTTTATTTGCTGCACTTTGGCATTTTGTCCGAAGTGTGATTCTTTCTCCAGGCTGGCCTCTCTGTGCACGCTGCAGGGAACATCACACCAAGTGCTCACCACCTGCCTTGTAGCTTTTGGCAGAAAATGAGAGACTGCAGCAGGCACCAGAAGCACAGGCTCTTCACATGGTGATGCTGCACATTCACTTCCCACTTCTACTTCCCTTTCTGGTGCAGTTCCCTTACCCTCTTGGCGGCAGAAGCCAGTTCTTAGGTTACAGACGTTTCCTTTTCTTCCCCTGTGGAGTACCGTGGGGACTTTTCCTTCCACCATAATTGGCATCTGCCAGCATGGGAACTCTAAATCAGCAGAAGCAGCTTGCTGTTCTCAGCATCTTCCTCACCTTTTTGTCCTCAGAAGATATAATCTAGGTCTCCTGCATTGCAAGACATAGCTACTGCCTGTGAGAACAGGCATAAGAAAGAGGTAATAGAAAGTGTGTTTAAGGGGACCAGACCTGTTATTTTTAAATGCAGCAAATTTTGCACACACAGAAGAAAGGTTTCTATGATGATTTAGACATTTTGACTGTGAATGACTTTCTGTAATTGTTCCAATACATTTCCTTTTCATTATTAAAATCAAATTCGTACTGAACCCTACTTCTCTTCTCTGAGAGTTCACAGGGCTTGCACCACTGTGCTCATTATGGGAAAACAGGCAGAACTTACTGCGGTATACCCCCCCCCCCCCCAAAGTAAATCCCTGATTTACAATCCCACTTAGAATGAGAATTTAGATAAACTATTTTGACTTCAGCAACCATGCAAAGACACAGCTAATAATGCAAATAACCCATCCAACCTGGAAGGGTCCATTGCAGACACAGTACTGTGACTGATATTCCCACCACTGTTCAGGGTCTCTCAGCCCTCCTGCAGAAAGGTCAGTAACTTCTTCCCCCACACAAAAGCAGTTCAGCAGAATGCTGAAAGCAGCCACTCTCTATATCAAAGAAGAATTTTAGTTTAGTACAAAACTTTATTAATATCGATGCTGTGAAACTATAAAAGTGAACATAGAGAACCTGAGCAGGCCTGGAGCCTGTCCCATCTATCAACCTCCGGGACAGCACCAAGGCCCCAGGCAACCTTGTAAACAAACTACAAAAAGCAAAACTTCTCAGTTTAACAGCAGTCTTGAGATTTGGTTCTGAGCAGAGATATTTGGAAGAAATTGCTCATTTCTGCTTTACCACACTTAAATCCAACATTCTGAAGCACATAGGCAGGGGTGAAAAAATTACTAACTGGTGGCAAGAGAAAATCTAGAGCTCTGAATATAGAAACTACAGAATCAGGAGGTTCCCCGCTCTGTACTGCCCTTGCAACCCATAAGGCTGATAAAGAGCTCTGGCATCATCATGTTCTTCGTGGTCTAGTTAAATAGCTGCAAGCACAGAATAGGCTAAGCCTGAGGTCTTGACAGATGCACGTTTTTCAAGAAGCTTGCATATGGGAGAGGTTGGTGTTCCCTAGGCTACCCAAGCTACCCATTGCCTCACCCCTGTGAATATTCTACCTTTTCAGGACATTAACTTTGTTAGCAAAGGGCTTCTCAGCTCAGTTTGACAACAACAGGCTGGGGACCCTGTCACGGGCTGCTCCACAGCAGACTACAGGAGATGGTAACCTCTGGCAAGTGATGACAAGGAGATGTGGCAGGCTGTCAGCAGGATCTGAGAATATCTTTGAAGTTTTCCTAGTGCCTCAGAAAATGGGTGCTAACTCCACTTGGAGGAGGAACTGAGTACTGACACAACTTTCTTAAGAGGAAGCAAAGGGAATCAGGGAAGCAAGATCCAGGAAGGAAGGACAATGCCCTGCATGGCTTATACTGCCCATTGCCAACACTGAATTCATACCCTGTGATCCAGAAAGGATTAAAATACTGAATCAGTTCTCTAAATCCTTTCCTTTTCGCTTCCTTCCCTGCGATTTAGAATCATTGCTTTTTGTTCTCCTCTCCTCCACCTCCAAAGACAGTAAGTTAGCTTTGAATTTGCTTGTCCCAGGATTTGCCTGCCTCTGCCCTCCACGTCTGGACAAACTCCAGCCTCCAATCCCCTGTTCTGTCATGGCTTTCAAAAGATGTTCTTGCTTCTTGGCGACCATCTCCTCCCGGCTCCAGATCAGAATATTAAAGCCTGAGAGGAAAAATTAAACACTGTCCATCAGAAACTCTACATCAAATATAACACCCTGTCACTTAAATGCCAGAAACTCAAAATGCTTTGTCTGTTCTGAGACATTTCCAAGGTATGGAGAATGCAAAGGTATGTATTGCAGATGCTATCTCTACACAGCCATGGAAATTTGATCTAATTAAGAAACATGAAATCAAGTAATTCCTAATCTCATCTGTCACGGGTCTAAAACCTAAATCTATAGCCAGCTCCCTTAATCCCATAGAGCCTCCGAAAAACTGAGTAATCTTGGCTCTGCAGCCTAGGAAATGAGATAAATTGAACGAAGGGAGAGGGCACAGCCAGGCAGGAAAAGCCCCCCACACACACCCGCCCCCCCGCCATCATTTTGTGCCAGTGTTACAGGGTCGGCAGATGGCAGCAGCTCCCCGCGGGCAGGCTTTGGGCTCCTCCGGACTCCACGCTTTGGGAATCTCTCGCAGGAGACACCGGTGGTCTTGATCTCTTTTACAGATGTAGGAAATTCTAGAGGACTACTAGCAAGTGGGATTTGGGAAACCCTCACTCATGACTTGCTTTAGTCTGGAGAAACAAGCCTGCCCTTTTCTGGGACTGGAACCCAGCCATGCTTAGTGCCCCAGGTTCTTCTTTACTTACCCATGCCGGAAGCCAGCGTGTCTCCCATAGGGTTAAATTTATTGAGCTGAAAATGGAAATGCAATCAGAGTCTGTAAGAGCATCACTGCTTATATAACAGAGTCATGAAAGCACCATGGCTTATATAACAAAACCAAACCATCTGTAAAACTCAATGTTCCCTAAAGAGTATCACAGAAAAACCACAGATGACCATGGACCAGTCCTGCTCGAGTCAGCAGCTTTAGCCGGCAGACATACCCCCACGCGAGCATGAGTCTGTCACAAGTAAAGAGGATACTCCTATTGTTCTAGTCCCAAACCCATATCTCTTGGCTGCGGTTCAATACACAGTGGTCCTTTTAGCTGCAGTGCTTAACTCACCGAGATGATACCAGAAGCATTTGGATCATGGAGTTGACAAACCATCTCCCCAGTGTTTCCATCAAATATATCAACAGTTCGTAGCTCATTCACCGTGTACCCTGGGAACTTAGGGTCTGGGTATCGACCTGCTACAATGAGGTCATAGCGAGGATGCCATGTTGCCTAGTCATACAGCAGAGTGACAGGGAGTTAGAAGAAAGGGACAGAGCTCATACTGACACACACCCCACAACGAGCACTGTGAGCAACAGTTTTTACATCCCACCCACAGCCTGAGGAGCACGGGTATCCTCAGAACAGTGCTCTGCTACGAGTTGCAGCAGTGTGAACATCCACCCACCAATGTACTATCCTGACCAGAAATCAGACTAATTCTGATTTACAGCCAGCTGCTAGCACCAAGCGTGATGCTCCTCTCAGACTGCACTGGCTTAACTCACCTTAATAGGTGTGAGGTGCTGAAACTGCCGATGCGGATGTGGGATCAGATGCTGTGGCTTGGTCCAGTCTGACGATGAGTAAACCCTGATTTCACTGTGCTGGTCTGTGCTCAGGAGCTTGGCACCATCTGTTGGGCTGAAGTAAGCTAGGAGAGGGGGACAATAAGACAAACACAAGATCACAGTGCTGTGAGTGACAAGAAACATGAAAATCATATT